CCAAAAACAAACACAGTCCCAGAGCCGGGCCCCCGCTTCACACGTTTATTTTTTTTTTTTTTTTTTTGTAATCCCGTGATAAGCAAATGTGTACATATAGTAAATGTCTTACTGTATATATATATATATACAAAGATAGTTTTCATGTGTATCTCTCATACTCGCTCACACGCTCGCTCTGAGCTCTATCCATGGCGCTCAAGTTCGCTTCGTGAGAAAAAAAGAGAACTTTAGCTAATATGAGTGAGTTTTTGCGTGTGAGCCAAATAAATAACACATATTTATACACAGGGTCATATATTTAAATTGTCTATATATATATATATATATATATATATATATATATATATATATATATATATATATATATATATAGACCTGTTGATGATGAATGTGCATTTGATATGTTATTTGATTTGTGGTCTTTGTATTCTGTGTAGCAAAGTTTCCATATAACCCCTTCACATTCATGCAGGCTTTGTTCAGCCGCTTTGATTTTCTGGGTTATTTGACATTCTGTTTGTTCCTCGCCCTGGATCTTACTGAAATTTATGAATGGCTGTAAATCTGCCTTGGCTAAAACAGATGCATGTGCACAACACATTGAGTTGTAAGACAGAAAATGGGGAGACAGGGTGTCTGACAAACAACCAGCCCTCTGCATCGCTCTTAGGGGAAGAGACTTTTAAATATATCCTAGAAGGCTACAATTGAGAGCTTCCTGGGGGATGAAGAAAAGCCAAAAACATACGAACAAAGCTGAGGACACTGTTATTTCTAATTCACTGTTTTTCACATTCCCAATGTTCACTTCAGTGTTTCACAATGAAAAAAACAGCAAGTAATTAGCAAGTAAGAGGTGAGCTGGAATGTGTATTTAGTTTAATATTTCACTTTACTTGAAGGGGACATTCATAAGACTGTCATAAAGCATTCATAATGACATGTCATGAATATGAATAAGAGTTCATGCATGTGTTATTTGTAAAAAAGAAAATATTATAAGGCATAAGAAATAATAAATAGAGAGAGAAACAAGTCTAAAATAACAGAAAAGGTACTGGCAGTTTAGTAAATTAGGCATAAAAATATTAATATAAAAATGCTAATAAAGTTACTTTTAAAATTTTCAAGGCTAAACGTTGTTGGAAGAAAGATCAAGGTCCCATAATGCAATTCAAAATCATAAATAAACTGGAAAAATAAAAACATGCACCACAAAATATGAAACACTGCTCATTTACGGATAATTTTTACAGTGTGTCATGAACATTTTTTTGATCGCTTTTTATCAGTGAACCAAAATTAATTTGTCATCCAAATTCCTCAGTTAAAGTGTCATTACTCAAATCATTTTATAACAATGTCATTAATATTTGATGACATTTTTTTGACAAATTCAACTTGTATTACTGTGTCTGAGGTCAACAAAAATATTACCGATGCTGTTATAAAATCTGACACGATTACAATGACCTTATGACAGTCATGTTTATGAC